GCTGCGCATGCAGGATGGAACAAACGGAACAATATCGTACCGGTGGCATTATGCATCTGTCATCGGCTCAGACGGGGCGCACCCACCAGCAGCAGATTTTCGTCCAAGGTAGAGTCACCTCGACCCCATGGCGCAGCGCCCCCAGGGGCCAAGGGAGCAGTCACATGCCGGCATCGACACCACAAGGCACCCGTTGATCACTGGGCAGAGTGCCGGCGTGGACGGCTTACGTGGCATGTGTGGCTTGAGGGAACCGAGGTGGAGAAACTACCGAAGCTGTGTGCAAAGGGATCGCAAAGGGGCCAGCTGAGAGCTTGGAATGACGGGCACGGCGGGCTTCAACCCTTTTGGGATTTTGGGGATAGCCAGCTGCCTCTCAAGCTCTGCACAACTGACTTGCTTGGTCCCAGAAGACAAGAGCTCCTCATGCAACGGCTTCGGCCTCGGCCCGGGTATTGTACACAGGGCACCGCCAATGCCTTTATCATCTTTACTGCAGTCCCTGACATTGCCTTCGGACATTCGTTAATGACACAAGGCTGCATATGCAGGATGCAAAGGAACAATATAGTGTACCAGTGGCATTATGCATCTGTCTGCTCAGATGGAGCGCATCTGCAAGCAGCAGGTCTTGTCACCCCAGGAGTACAGTCACCCCGATCCTAATCCAATGGCGCAGTGCCCCCAGGGCCAAGGGAGCAGTCACATGCCGCCATCGGCACCACAAGGTACCCGAGCGTTGATCACGCTGACCGATATAGAGGGCACTGCGCCACAAGGGGCGACCACGTCAGAACATGTCTTTTCGCCTGTGGCCCTGCGCAGTATCGCCCACCAAGGTTCACCCTGCTATCATACGTAGCTGCGCGAGAACTGAACAAGGATCGGCCACACCCAGAAGACATGGCTGGCACACTTTTCCGAACAAGCACAGCAAAGCCGTTCGCAGCCACCCTTCTCACTTACAGACAGTCTGCAAGCTCCAACTCAGATTGAGGGGCCATCTCTGACGGTACTTCCTGCAGCACCTCCCTTGTCCCACCTCCGCATCACCCACCAAAGCCGCCCCCGCATCGCGCGCTGAAGCAGCCTCCGAGCAGTTGGATGGATGCAGCCGAGGTTTTCGGGGGTGCTGAAGACGCTCTAGAGGGATCTGGGAACAGGCTTCTCATTGATCCCCCCGCCTCCCTAAAACAACTTGATGAGAAGTCTTATGTCTGCACGGACTGTTGCCAAGGCACCCTCAAGCTTGCCGAAGGCCTGACATCCATCGTTAGACCAATGCCCAAGTCGGCCGATGCACTGAAGCATTGGACTGCGCGAAAGCCGACTTTGTCCTTTCTATCCGTGTCAAGGAGGAGGCCTCGTATTGCCTGGAGTTCACGACTAGTCACGTGTCTAGTCGCGGTTGAGGGCTTTAGGATGCTTGAGGACTTTAGGATGCAGCACAAGGCCCATTTCCCCTTCCAGCCACGCGCCTTCAAATGCTCGAAGTGGTCGCCTGTGTTGAAAAACGTCTCTGCAGCCGCTTTTCGGGGGAAGGCGGGGCAGGCTTAAGTGGCACGTGTGGCTTGAGGGAACCGTCATGGACGAACTACCGAAGCTGTGTGCCAAGGATTGCAAAAAGGGCCAGCAGAGACCGTAGGCGGTAGGGAATGAGCGGCGCAGGAGACAAAAACAACCTTTCAGCTTGGGAAGGCCCCTTTTGTTGCCTCTCAGAACACCTCACTGTGCTGGCTTTGTGGGCAGAAGGCTCAAGAGCTCCTCAGTGTCTTTCGGCCGGTATCGTGGAAAGGGTGCCGCCGATGCGATCATCTGTATTGCAGCGCCCTTGACGTTGCTTGTAACATAATGGATGACAAGGCCTCATATGTGTAGTAGATACACCAATCGAGTACTGGATAGCTGCGCTTTAGGTAAGGGCAGTACTATTCAGACCAACAGTTGAACGCGGGGGTGCTTCGGCAATGAACTGCTGGCATCTGCACCCTGTGACTCTTTAACATGAAGTTCTTCCAGAGACGGACTCACTACAGGGAACTGCTGGTAGCACTGTGCGCAGCACGGTGCACAGCCTTCGGGTCGGAAAGCATCCGGAAGATCGGCAGCAGAGTATTGTGACCTTGGGCCTCGGGGCACCAAGCCGAGCTAAGGCCTCAGAACCAATGCACCCGAAAAGGCTTCGAAGCAAAATTCTGTGAGCCGGCATCTGAGAATCTGGGATGGTCTTGGTTGGGCCTCAAGACCTTTGTTCCTAGACTGCAGCCACGGGCATATGCGATGTATGGCATTCCTTTCGTGTGCGGCTTGCTCCCACCCTGGTGCCGACATGTGCCGGAGTGTGCGGGGTTTCAAGGGAGAGCCAAGACCCGCCAGAATGGAAGTCGTGACAAGCGCACACATGCCGTGCAGCAACGCTCACATTCCCGCCGCCTTTGCAGTGGGAGAGCACAGTGAGGCCTTGCAAAGTCCACGTGAAGTTGAGCACAAGAGGAACGCTAAGTAGCACAGCGTCGCCCAAATGACGAGCATACGAAAACCCTTGCCTGCATGCCGATGCACTTGACGCGCATTGCTGTGCCGAGGCCGCCGAGGCCCCGGTGGTCAGCTTGTCACCCTTAGAGCTCGAGCTCTTAGAGAGCTCTTAAGAAGCTGTCATGAGGCTAGGCAGATGCCATGTCACTCCCGATGCGAAGTGCCACTGCAATTCTGCTACAGTGTATTCACGTTGATCCAAGGAACGCGGGGGAAAAGCCGGCGGTCCTCTGCAATCGCTGACGCTTGGGCGGCAATGCAGCTGGGCATTGTGGACCAACGGTGCAGGGTCTAAGCCCAAACTGGCCAGCAGCCCTAGCTGGCTAGCTGAATCTGGTCACGGGCTCTCTGGCTCTGCTGGTTCTACAGGCTCTCAGCCGCCACTTCAATAGGAATCCGCCTACACCAAGCACTCGCCTCCTCCGCAACGCGTCCGCACGCATGTTGTTCCGAGGACTGCGGGGTAGAAGCCGGCGGTTCCCTGCAAACGCTGACGTCGGGGCAGCAATGCAGCTGGGCGGCGATGTAGCTGGGCGGAGATGTAGCTGAGCATTCTGGACGAACGGTGAAGTGTCTGAGCCTAAACTGGCCCAACAGCCAACATAGCTGGCTGGCTTAATGTGGTCACAGGCTCTCCGGCCCCGTTGGTCCTACAGGCGCTCAGCCGCCACTTCAGTGGGACTCCACCTACACCAAGCACTCGCCTCCTCCGCAACGCGTCCTCGAGCCCACCTGGCCATCAGGATGCTCTGCACCAAGCCAAGTGAAAAGCCGCGTGGCATCATGTCAAAGCGAGCGGGCTCCTGCCACGCAACGCAGCGCAAGCATGGCCAGGGTTGAGGGTTGAGGGTTGAGGGTTGAGGGTTGAGGGTTGAGGGTTGAGGGTTGAGGGTTGAGGGTTGAGGGTTGAGGGTTGAGGGTTGAGGGTTGAGGGTTGAGGGTTGAGGGTTGAGGGGTTGAGGGTTGAGGGTTGAGGGCTGAGGGCTGAAGGTTGAGGGTTTAGGTTCAGCACCAACTACATCACTACATGACAGGAAGAGCAGTGCCGGCTGTCTACATCTGCAGGGCTAGATGCATGTCGTACCGTGGCAGTCCGACGCATGGATCAGTGCTGCGACAGTGCTGCGACAGTGCTGCGACAGTGCTCCGACAAAATCAATCAGACTTTCCTCTTTGTCATCGTGGAATGCAGAAAGGGATCCTCCAGTAGAACCTGGCTGCTGCATAACATCTTGGGGTTCGAATACGCCGCAGAAGGGTTTATGGTTCATACACCTTCATTTGCGATATAGTAGCCAGGGTAAATGACCCCAGTTCTAAGGTTCAGTTGGTGCCCAAGCTATGCATAGCTGGCACATATCCATTTCTGGTTCGTCACCCTGCTCTGGGACGGGACCTGTCCCTCAGCACCCGGAAACAGGGTTTAGGGTTTAGGGTTTAGGACTTAGGATTCAGAACGCCGAGAGGCTCTCACTCCTCGACAGCCAGATGGCACGAGGTTTGGGCCCGGGGTCCTTGAGCCGTACTCTTTTTCCAAAAGAGCATTTCCAGTTTGGGTTTAGGGTTTAGGGTCGTCTCAACAAGTGACTCATCCCTGTATGTGACTCAAAAAGCACCGAATCTCTCAACCTCTATTGTTTCTCTGGGTGCTGTTGAGCCTTCAGGCCTCATAGAGGGGTTGAAAATTGCTCTGGCGCCATGAAGCTTCTTGCATTATCAGATGTAACAGAGATAACAGTCACGTGTCATGACCGGTCCTCCGCAATGGCCAGACATGGCACGGGCAGCAGCTTTCAAAACGCGGCGCATATCCGATAACTAGGGTTTTTATGCGATTCCTTTGGGCTCTTGCTGAAGGTAGCCCTCAACCGAATAACCTCATGAACTCTCGACTCGGGCCAAACGGTCGACACGCAGCATTGGCAAGCATGTCTTCCCTGGTCACTACGGACGATGATATTGAGCGTGACATCTCATATTGACAGACAGATATGTGTACATTCACGTGCAACTTCACTTGCTATCAAAGTCACTCTGGTAGCCCTCGACAGTACAACCCCATGAACTCTCGACTCGGGCCAAACGGTCGACACGAAGCGTTGGCAAGCATGTCTTCCCTGGTCGCTACCTGACATCTCATATGGACAGATATGTGTATATTCACGTGAAACGGTCACTTGCCACTGAGGTCTTCACTTGCTATCAAAGTCACTCTTGCCAACACCAGGAAGGGTATGACGCGTCATGAAAAAAGCAGTACTCGTGCAATCCATTTCAACCAATTCGGAACTTGAGTTTACAGCAGCTTGTTCCTTTTATCGGCTCTCCGCCGATCTGTCGGGTAAGGCAAGCCTTCGCTCAGCCGGCACAGGCGCTACAGACTCACAGCTGCCGAGGGTGGCTAGGACGCGCTACGAGGTCCCGTAGTGAACCCTTGCTAAACTTCAGAGAAAGGAGGAGCCGGGATGAGCGGCATGGCCAGAAGGGCGGAAGCGGGAGCACGGAAAGTGCTGCTTAAGCGCCAATGCATCCAGGCGAGCGCCGCCAAGGACGGGAAGGTGGAGCAGCGGCGTCTCCGTCTCCGTGTGAGCTACACGTGCTGCGGACTCTGCCCGCGCCGCTGTCTTCCTCCGGCCGCGAAGCGCCTGAGCTGCGCTGCAGACCTTCCTCCAGCCTCTGCAGACTGCGGCTCCTGCGGCAGTGCCCGTGTGTGGCTCGTGCGCAGCGCCCTTCGCAAGGCGAGGGCTCCAAAGCATCTCCAAACTTCCGCGAACGCAGGGGACACCGGGCACGTGTCGTTGGGGCGGTTGCGGCACCGGGGCCGAGGATGCCGCATCGGCTCGTAGCTTGGGCAAACGCTTCCGGAAGCTTCGCTTCGGTGTTGGTGCGCGACTGCAGCCTGCATCTCATTGATGGCTTGCGCAATCCGCCCATCGTCTGCCAGCTGATGGAACACAGCTCCGCGCCGGGCGGCTCCGCCTAACCCCAGAAGTTGGCGCAGACGCAGACAACCAAGGCACGCAATGGCATAAAATGGTGGCGCGGTCTTTCCGGATTGGATCCTCACTTGACTCATGACATCCCGGCCGACCAGCGGCCGACATTAGCCAGTGCGTTCGCACTTCGGTGCTGTCGTTTCGCTCCTACATTGAGATCCCCGTGTGCAGACATCAGGAGCTGTCGTCTGGTGAGGTGGAATTGGCGGTGGGGTATGACATTCCTCTCACGTCTTGCCCGAGGAAGACTTAGTGAAAACACGCTGCTTCCACAGGCAGCCGCCCGATCGAGGCGTCCGAAGCGGGCGCCTGAGCACACGCACGCACGCAGTCAGGCATGCGGAAACGACAGCTGCTCGCTGACGACGCCGTGCCACGATCACGCTGGCAGATGCACGCAAGCGCGGCGGCGAAGCACTGCACATGTGCGAAGCACTGCATATGCGACGCGGGACCTTTGTGAGGCAGCCTTCCTTGGCTTCAGGACAACACTGCTGCTTGCGAGCACGACAGTGAGCCAAATCGCATCGCTTTGTGCCGCTTTCTTGGATTGACTACACTACACAGAGACGCTGTGGCAACCGTACCGGCCAAAAAGGTCGTCTCAGATCCTCAGCGACGGCACTTCATCGGGAAGTCACCGCAAGCCCAGCGGCGACAGGCCGGCCGAGCACCGGCCCCACCACACGCTCGGGCAGCGTGCGTGACATCGAGAGCATGCACGAAAGGAAGCGTGGTGTTCGCGGCCAGCGCTTCAGCCGAGCCGCTTCAAGCCGTCAGCTTGCATCACCGGCTCCGACTCGGACACGCCGAATGCTCGACTGCACGCGCCGCATGCCAGAGAGTTTCATCAGGCTCGCTCCACAGGCATGTGTACTATAGTTGAACCAACTAGTGTCCCCCGAGGCCGTCTCTTCTGGATAGCTTCATGATCGTTCCGTTGCGAGAAGCATCGTAGAGGTGCCTCCGGAACCTCAGGCACCGCTTGCAGCACCTGTGGGGAAAGCACAGCGAGCGCACGAGACAGCAGGGCCAGGGTCCCCGCAAGGGCGCTCTCAAAGCCACACACCCGGCCGCGGCCGCGCGAGGTTGCCAGGTGAGAACAAAGCAGAGCGCAGACGGCGAAAGGCGCACCACCGGGTGATCCGGGACTGGGGCCTGCATCGTGCGCATGCTTTGGCGCGTGCTTTTCGCAGGCGTGTTCGCAAGCGCTTTCTTAGGCTGCAGCAAGAAACACGGCAAGCCCTGTGGCGACGCGGTGCATTCAAGCTGCCCCGCGACACCCCCGCTCAGGCAGCGACGTCAGTGGACCTCCACAATCTGTAGTCCACCGCGTGCGCTGCGTAGTCGGGGTCGTCGTTGAGGTCGGAGGCGCAGGGACGCGGGCGCGGTGCGCAGGGGCGCGGGCGCGGTGCACAGGGGCGCGCCGAGTGTGGGAGCATGTCAGTGTCACCTCTCCGAGCAACAGCAGGCTCCGTGTGCTGCGCGGGACGAGCCGGGTTTCCACAAAGCTGGGAGAGAGACGGCCGAAGTGCGCTCCGAGCGGCACGAGCGGCTCAACCCGGCTTCTGACCTTGAAAATGCCTGAAAGACCCGTGCATACCACACCCCTATGCAGGCTATGCATGACAGACTTGCAGCTGAGGCGGAGCTTATAGGTCAACTTCACCCGCAAGAGAGAAGGGCGTTGTAGGCACGCGACTTCCGTGGCAAAGTGCGCGTGGAAGTGGGATGAAGAGGCTCGGCACGCAGTCGCGTGGCACGCCGACCTTCAAGTCGTGCCGAGGAGAGAGGCAATGCAGATGGAAGGCCCGAAGCCTTCGCCGGCTTTCGATGGCTTAAGAGGCTAGAGGCTTGTGGCTCTGAAGCCACAATGGCCATGGATCAGCAAATCGACACATCCATCTGCGGTAGCTGCCGGGCATCGCCTCCGTCGTCTTGCAAATAAGCGCAGGCACAAGCTTGGAGAAGCGCACCTGCTTGGAAGCTTCTGCTTTCAGGCCCCCTTTTGGGTCGCAATGTGAGGGAGCCGCTAGTGCTGTCTAGGCTGAGCTGGCCAGGAAAGCAGGAGCCTCTTCGCTTGAGCTCCAGGTGAGGAGGCCGAGACACACAGATTCCACCGAACTCACAAGCTCGGCTGGCACACGGGACTGAAGTCCACAGGGCTGTCAGCAGCCCGATCATCCCAATCAGTGGCGCCACAAGGTGGCGCCGGGTTTGTTTTTGGTAGGGCAAATGGCACGCAGAGCCCTGCATGGGGCCGAAGTCGCATGCATGCTCATGCTGCACGAAAGCACGCGGCCAAAGCTGCGGGTACCACATTCACTGACAAGAGGTGGCACGTGTGACAAGCGTCAGAGTCGCACAGGTCCGCCTCGATCTCGTGGCCCACCGGCATCAGCGGCATCGGCGCAGCCTCCCCGGACCACGTGCTGGGAGCGAGTGCTGCGAACACCGCTACGAACCTAGCAGGCGTGGAAGGTCGGAGACTGTCGGTGCCGGCTGACGCATTTTGCTGCCGTGGTGTGGTCGTCGTGTCCGGTGGTGGACCGCTCCGCACCGAAACCACGGCACAATGTTTATGCATGTTAAAACCTGTATATCTATCTGTCTGCAAGTTCCGCATCTAAGCAGAGCCCCATGATGGATGCAGGAAGAAGTTCACGCATGAGCCGCTAAGACGCAACGGAGAGAACACAAAGCCGCGTGGACAAGCCTGCCCCAACAAATGTGGAGATTTCAGGGGAGGGGTGAAGCAGCTCGACCACTTGTCCCGGTCTCCAAACTTTCTCCTGGAAGGCAAAGACATCGAGACAGAGTCGAAGAAGTTGGGGCGGGGAGCCGTCGGGTAACGAGAGAGGACTTATAGAATCGAGTATCCAGAGTACCCGAAGTATCCAGGGTGTCGACAGAGACCAGCGAAGCTATGGCCGGCGTTGTGACAGATCCCATAACTGTGCGTCAAAACCTTCTGGAGCACAGGCAAGTCCTAGCACTACTCGAGTGAGTCGCTTGCATGCTTGCAAGTGCAGGCCCGGCAGTCTGCAATTGCGGAGCGGCTGCTCGTCCTTAGGCCTACGTGCTGCGCGCAGTGGCAGCTTGCGATTGGTCTACACACTGAAAAACACCAACCTTTGACATCATCTCCTAGGTGTGCTTATGGCTTTGGAAGCAGGAGGCATAGACAAGGAGCGAGAAAGCACAGACGCGAGCAAGGAGATGAACAGCTTCTACCTGCCAAGGAAGCATGCATGTGTGGAGAAGAGCCTGCCGGGCTAAGCAAGCCTTCGCTGTGCCAGTACTGCGTGCAGCTTGCATGGAGCTCCTGCGAGCGCTTACATATTTGCAGGCCTTCCGGGAAGGGTTGGAGCCAGAAGCGGCTTTGGCTGTAAGTACAAAGTCAGCAGGTGTCGGAAAGTGCATGCGCAGCTGGCACAAGCAGCAAAACATGACGTGGGTGAGCTATCCCGCACGTGCCCCACTCAGGCAGGTGCGCAGGCACACGGTAGGGAGCTTTGCACTGTGGTGCCCGATGACCTGTCAAGACAAAAGTGCTGGTTGGCTCTGAACGCAGGAAACGAGGACCTACGCAGCACGAGCTGGAGGCAGGATGTGGAGGGCGAGGCTTTTGTCGATGGCCGGAAGCGGTGCTGAGCGCACATCATGCCTCCGCAGCATGTGGAAGCAGCTGGCCAACGGAGGCAATCAGCACAAGCGTGATGCTCTAGCCTCCAGCATGCTATGACTTGCTCATGCCGGATTAAAGAGGCAGGGTCGTTTAAGACAAAACCCCACGTCGTCTCCTTGCACTTGGCATCTAACAGCATTTTGGGGTTGAAGTGGTCGGTAGCCCTCCCAAAACTAATCGACATCTGCCGTGCCACGGGGTCCCGCCGCGAAGGGAGTGTGAAAGTGATGGGCAAGCCCCCGACGATAACACCTCCAAATTCTCAGAGGCAACGGTTTAGCCCCAAGACTACCATGCGCGACCGCTCCCCCAGACAAAGATCTTTTGCCAGCCTCCTTCTGCTGCACGCCTGGTCTTTGAACATCATGGCTTCACGGTCATGTGTGCCGGGGGCACAAGAAGGGCTTGCGCGGGACCGAAACTGACAACTGTAATGGGTGTAGCAAGCCTAAGTCTCCATTATGGGGTGGCCCAACAAAGGGACGGCTTGCAGAGGATGTAGAAGTCTACCGTCCGCTGCCAGCCTTTCGGCTGCGCAAAGGCCATCTCCTGAGCTGCTCTCTGTGTTCGGCCCCTGGGGCCTCGACTCTCATCCTAGGGGGATAGGATCAGGGGGGGGACCCTTTGGGGCTTTAGACCCTCTCAAGAAGCTACCTGTGTAAGAGAGCCAGAAGAAGGTTCAGAAGGGCTCCTCTAGCGCGGCTTCCGCCGCGCCGCGGGCCAGGGCGCTTTCAATGGGATCTGAAGCGTTTCAGACCTGACGCGTGCCAGTCGTTTGGCTCCCGGCTGCCGGGCAGTGCACGTCGCATCTGGAGCCGCCAGCTTTTCGAGGAGCGCGCGACAAGAAGCACCAGATTCGACTGTGCAGTGGCCTTCACACTCTCTTTCGGCTACGACATCACATGATAGGCAAGTATAGAGTCCTCCGAATCCTCGGCCCGGAGAGGCGATTTTAATCCTTCAACATCAGGCGCGTGCCAGTCTCAGCCCTTCGTCTCACAGGCCCAGCCGGAAAATCCGGACACCCCCAACATCTATAGAGGCTGCAGGCTATATCTGGCTTCAAGCTTTAGAATTGTGGTCTTTGGAGCATCCTTCATTGCAAGCCGGGTCTCATCCACAGATCACTTCGAGTCCACAGAGGTTCTCCCGTGTAAGGGCC